CACCCCCCTATGTGTTGTTTTCACTCTGTCTCTGCCTCTCTCTCTCTCTCTCTCTCTCTCTCTCTCTCTCTGTCTCATTCCTCTCTCCGTTTTCAGAGCTCCCTCCCCTCTGCAGCACCCATGATTCTTTTCTCCCCCAAATCACCTCTCCGCAGCTCCTACTGCCATGATGTGGCCATTTTTCTACCTCTAGATGTGCGGTTGGTTCCTTAAATTCTCAGATGGATTTCCTGGGTGTTCACAATGATTTGTTATGTATTTAGCTGTGTTCGAAGGAGGAGGCAAGCCTGGGCCCCCTCCTCCTCCATCAACTTAACTCTTCTCCCAGAATAATGTTTTGAAATGTATAAAATAAAGTATGCAAGATTGCAAAGGAAATCGATTAAGTTAAAATATAGTTATCAAACATATTAAAAACACATTTGTGATATGGTAATAGGTATGCTTTTTGTTTTGTTTAAAGACTTTATTTATTCATTTGTCAGAGAGGTAGAGAGAGAGGGAGCACAAGCAAGGAGAGTGGCAGGCAGAGGGAGAAGCAGGATCCTTGTTAAACAAGGAGCCCAATGCAGGATTCGATCCCAGGACCCTGGGATCATGACCTGAGCTGAAGCCAGATGCTTAACTGACTGAGCCACCCAGGCATCCCTAAGTGTGCTTCTTTATTCACCCTTCAAGTAGCACAGTCCAGCAGTGTCCCAGTAACTCCCATGACTTCAATATCGTGATGAGCAGAAATCTTTTGAGCTGTTTGCAACAACAGTGATAGGATATGAAAACACCTGCAACTTCTCTTGGTGATCATGAGCTAGGTTTCACTGATACTGTTGTGTTTGTGGCTATAGCTAGAATCGAAGAAAATGTTCAAACCTTGTTAGACCTTAGTGAGGATGAAGACACAATTCTTTTCTCTAGCCATGCTCATGGGTCCTCCGAATTCTGTTCACGAACTCCTTGGGAGGCTGTGACCCCAGGTTCAGAATCCCTGGTCCCTGCGCTTTGTTTTCCATCGTTTGTCGATTTCTTTCTTCATTGTTCTTTTTTTTTTTTTAAAGATTTTATTTATTTACTTAGAGAGCATGAGCAGGAGGAGGGGCAGAGGGAGAGGGAGAAAAAGAACCTCAAGCAGACTCCGAGCTGAGTGTGGAGCCCTACGAAGGGCTTGATACCATGACTCCAAGATCATGACCTGAGCCCAAATCAAGAGTCAAATGCCCAACCGACTGAGTCACCCAGGCACCCCCTTCATATTGTTCCTAAATGAGCCAGAGTAATTCATGTTTAATCATTGGCAAGGAACCAATGGTAGTGACCCCATTCTGTCACACTCAAACAGGGGCAGGGAGACCCCCAATGTGCACTGTTTTGTAGCTTGTAGAACAAGGACCTCATGGTGGAGCTGGAAGGGAGCGCCAATGCCCTTACAGTCAAATTTATTCTGTGGATGAAGGTAAACCCTCTTGGAGAGGATGCCAGGCCAGTGCTGACCTGGGCCCAGAGAATGGCTCTTGTTTGCCACATGTGTGTGTTCATGAACACACACACACACACACACACACACACACACACACACAGCTGTATGGTCTGGAGAATGGTGACACCAAAATTAGCTAGAGGGAGAAGTAGGGCCAGGTCTCAGTCATAAGGCGTGTGGCACAGAGCCCTCTTATATGATCACTCAGCAGTGGGCCATCTCTGTCCACATGCCTCATCTCCTCTGGCCCTGCACATCTCACCGGCTTTTGTGTCCCTGGGGGACGCAAGTTCACTGTTAGTACTTGTCATTGTGTTTTTCTTCTCACCACTCACTTCTCCTTTGTCTCCTGGGGCTCCTACCTAGGTCTAGTTCGGGGCCTCCCTACTCCTGCTTTCTCTTCTGTGCTACATCTGTCAGCCCAAAGTAACCCCGATTTGGTTAAAGTGTACCAAAAATATTGTTGAAATCCACGTGTTCACAGGAACAGGAGAGCTCCAAGTTCCAGAGAGAAATCAGACCCGTAACCATGAGCTCTCTGGCCTGACACATAGAAGGCACCCAGCGAATATTTGCTTAGTCGAGTTATCAGGTAAAGAACCCCCAAAGCTCCCAAAAAACCTCTTTCGGGATTCCCACCAAAGTCACCAGCTATCCCTTACCTTCCTCTAATGAAGGTGGCTTTTCCTCAAATGCCAGCATTCCAGATGAATACAATGCTTTCAATCAATGTTATTGGCTTTGTTTGCAACAGTATTTCTCGCTACCATTCTTCACCAGTTGCGTGGGATAATTAGTTTTGTGTTGAAGGGAGGGGGTGAGAATGGGAGGCAGAGGGAGGACGGGGGTAGGGGGTGATCAGCCATCATTTACCACTTCTTAGGGAAGGCGGCCTGTGTGAGGTGGCATCTGTGGGGACACCCAGAGCTCAGGACTGCTTCGGTAGTTCCTCTAGCACCCAGCATGGCCCTGCTTTCTTTCTGAAGGTAAGTGTTTGATAAGCTGGATGGTCTCTCGTTTCTCTGGTTGTGTGCCTGACTCAGTGCGCAGTGAAAAGTAGGCCACACATGGTCATTATTTCCATGCCACCTCACGGGAGAATTTTATATTAAGGCAGATAGGTCCATCTTTTGTGTGTGTGTGTGTGTGTGTGTGTGTGTGATACAAATTGCTAATTATTAGCAAATCTCTGCTCTGTACCAGGCTGGTGAAAAGCATGTCACACACATCATCTCATTTAATTCTCTGTATGCAGCCAGAGACATCCTCTCAAAGTATAAATGACATCTCCCCCTCCTTTCCCCTGCCCCAAACCATCCAAGAACTCTGGCACATTTGCCGCCAGGCCCAATGCAGTGTCTTGCAACGCTGGTGGGGCATGGCTCCTGGCTCCTGCTCCAACTGTATCCCCTCCCTTCCCCTTCTCGCCAGCCTCCTTGCTGCTCCTGGAACTGGCCAAGAAGGCCCTGCGCCAGGGCCTTTGCACTGGTTCTTCCCCCCAGGCACTGCCCACATCATTCCTTCACCTTATCAGGCCTTCTCTAGTGTCTCTTCACAGAGAGCCTCACCCCATCCAAAGTATCACCTGTTGCTAGGCTCTATTTCTTTTGTTCCTGATAGAACTCAGCACACCTGGCTATTTTATTATAAATCTATTTGGTTGTCTATTACTTATCTCCTCCCTAGAACCAAAGCTACCTGAGTGCAGGAACCTTGTTTTGTTCACTGATTGATTTCCAGCACCAAGAACGGTGCCTCCAATGGAGTGGTCATAAATAAATAAATATGTGGCCAATGAAAACATAAATGGATGAATCCTCACAACCCCCATAATGTAAGAGGTACTCTCTCCCCCATGTTATAGATGACAAGACTGAGGTTTTTTGTTTTTTTTTTTTCAAATTTATTCAACAGAGATCACAAGTAGGCAGAAAGGCAGGCAGAGAGAGAGAGGAAGGGAAGCAGGCTCCCCACTGAGCAGAGAGCCCGACGCGGGGCTCGATCCCAGGACCCTGGGATCATGACCCGAGCCGAAGGCAGAGGCTTTAACCCACTGAGCCACCCAGGTGCCCCCGAGAAGACTGAGGTTTAGAGAGTTTGACAGTATTCTCGGGGTCATAAAATGAATGAGCCACCTGGGACCAGAAGTTAAGATGTCTCGCCTCTGGGGTCTGGCTCTTAGCTACTGTGCCAGTTCACCTCTCTCTGCACTCGTAAACACCTGCCAGTGTTTCTGTGTAGGAACCCTATTTCCCTGAGACACTCTAAGGAAAAAGCTTCTGATGGATGGCTTGGTTTGGGAGAGCTACAAATTGCCTTTCCTGCTTGGTAGCCTAGGAAAGGCTCTGAAAAATCCTGCAGTAAAAAACCTGGTTGAACTTGTATAATCAGTGTTTCCCAAAGTGTTGACGGTAGACACTTTTATTTATTCATCGGTGTGTGTAACATCTATTAACATATGGCAAAGCATACTTGGAAATAATAGCTTTTATTCTTGTGAAGGGAAGCAGATGTCTGGTACAGGATTCTGAGAGCTATCTCTGGGTTGGCTGGTGTGGGAGGTCTGGGACCGGAGCCTTCCTAGCCCAATGAGAGGACCCATGCCCAAATTCAAGTTCCTACCAAACTGGCACTGGGGTCCACCGTGTTTGTTCACCCCCTCTCATGCTCACCCCAAACCCAGGAAGGTAGCAGGGAGGCTCCTGGCTCCCTTTATCTGTACCCGGACCCAAGTGTGCTTCTCTGAAGAGACCTGGGCTCATCTTCTGCCCTCTGGTTCCTGTACCAAGTGACACTTGGTGTTCCTCTTGAGCCTCTTACGGGCTATTGCTCATGTGGGCCTCTCAGAGATGTCAACCCTTTCCCCCCAAGCATGGCCTTATTCTCTCACTGTCTTATGTCTCCCTATCGGACTTTTAACCTTTTAGAGGACCAGGGACACTGCCTTCCCCATGCATGTCTTCTTGGCCACCAACTCTGGGCTGGACCAATGGTAAATGCCCAGGTAATTCTTGTTGGCTTGATGGTGAGGGGGCGGGTGATCCTACATGTATGCTGCATGGTTTGGAGCAGAAAGGATAAACGGTGATGTTGTAAATCCCTTAATTCATTGCCAGAGCTGCCTGCCCCCCACCACCCCCCGCCCCAATCAGAATAGAAGGATGCCCCAGAGGCACCGAAGACTATAGAGTGAAACGTATGTCACTGACTGCATCTCTGGGCTCCTCGGAGAGCTCGAGCCACTGTCAACGCCCCCGATGTGTTCATTTTTATTGGTTTTGATGATGATCTGATGTCATCAGAGATTCAGGTCTCATGTTCATCCCTGAGATCATCTAAATAGCACGGGTGATGGGGAAGGGAAGAGCAGAGAGAGGCGCCCACGGGCAGCCGGGATCGGACTGCATAAATCTGGGAGGAGGGAGAGGGCTGCACAGCCTGGCCTTCCCAGCTGGCGCAGGAGGCTGAGTGGGACCAAGCGAGAGGCCGTGGAGCAGGCAGCGTTGTGCCTTCACCCCAAGTGACCATGAGAGGTGCCATGCGAGTCTCAGTCATGTTCCTTCTGCTGACTATGTCGGACTGTGCCGTGATCACTGGGGTAAGGCGTCCAACTCCCTCTATGCCTTGGGTTTTGGGCGGGTGTCAGGGTCTGCCCGGGATGGGAGCCAGCAACCATGCAGGAGGCAAACCAAACCAAACCAAACCAAAACAAAAATTAGGGAGTCAGTGGTCAGCCAGCATTTCAGAGGGACATTCCACATGATTTTCAGATTAGTCATACCTTACCCCCCTCCTAGATGGGGTCTACTTTGGAGAGGCTATGTGTAAATCGAGTCTTATTTCCAAATTCATTAGAAGAACATCGAACATTTTGAAGTTTAGACCTTGGGGAAGAATAAGATTCCTAATTGTGTAGTAAGGAATTCTTTCATAAAGCTGATTAGCACCCTGTAATTTATCTTTTGTGTAAATTTGGGATTTCATATACAATCTGGCCCACATGTCATTTACACAGCATGTTGACTTAATTAAAGTCAGGGGCCTTATTAGCTTTAATTGGGGATGTTTAACTTCTGCTTTTTTTACTCTTAAGGAAGATTGTCTTGAAATTCTTTCCTTTCTTTATTGTTTATGTATTTTAACTGTGCTCGGTTCTGATCAGAGCATTTGGCTGGGTGTACCCAAAAGCAAGCATCTGATAACAAGTAGAAATCTTGCCTCCCAGTGGAGGTTTCCCACACAGGGGCACTGCCTGTCTTAGAATTCGAAACCCTCAGACTGGGGCTTTCCCTAGGACCACCCTCAAATGTGTTACAGTGGTGGGACGACTCTTACTAAAAGGGAAAGTAATACCTAACAGTTTTCCAGATCAAAGCTGCTAAAAAAAAAAGGGGGAAATTAATTTTTCTCCAATGTCCTTTAACTTTTTACATAAAGAATGGAAATATAGAAAAATGCCAAACCATTCCTGAAATCTCATTAGTTTTCATGGTCACAGAAAGGAAAGGTCTTTCTTCTCCTTTTTAAAGGAAAAAGACTAAGTTTCAAAGACGAACACATATTAAAGTCAAGTCAATGCTTTTAAGACCCAGAGCATGAATGACATTGTTAGGGCAAAATTATACCTAATGAATCAGTCTCTGAATCTCCTATTGTGTAGCCTGAGGCCGGGGAGGCCAAGAACAAAGGAGAGAAGCCACCAAGAGGGATGGGAGCTGCGGGTTGACCTTGACGCCCAGGTGACCTCACTGGGCCTGCTCCAACATCTGGAGAGGGTGGGACCCAGTGCTGGGGAGGGGGTGTCAGGATCTCCCTCCCCTCTCCATGCCCTGCTGCCGCCCTGAGGCTGACTGCCAGGAAGAGGCTGGGCGGACATGGCCACACGCCCCTGCTCCCTGGACTGTGACCTTCCTGGATTCAGGATGGGATATTCCCTCCTGCCAGATTGAGACCATGATGTTCCAGCTCTGTGGCAGGACAGTAAGGGAGGGTCTGCTCGACCCTGACCCGGGCTTTCAGGGGCTGCTGGGTGTGTGAGATGTAGCCTCGCTGGGCTGGAGACATGCACAGTCAGGTTACTGTCACTTGCACCTCCTCTGGGGAGGGGGCAAGCAGACCCCGCACCCCCACTTTCCCTCCCTGGGGCTGAGCAAGTTCACAGCTTCCAGAAACCAGGCAAAGCCGCCCAGCTCCTGTTCTGGAGCCCAGCCCAGAGGGGTCCACCCCTCTCTGGGGATTGAGGATGCCAGCAGAGAAGCACCAGGGAGACCCCTGTTCTCTGGGGTGCTGGCATCTCAGTGAGGCTGGGCTTCTGGTGAAGGCCGAGGGGAGGGTCAAGGTGGGGGCCAGGGGAAGGAAGACACCAACCCTGGGTGTGGGGTCAAGGTTGGATCGTTAGTCCTAGGATTGACCCCCTGGGGACTAGGGCCATCAATGCCCCCCTCCCCGCCACCTCTAGGAATTCAGATCAGTTCCATTTCCCCAGCATCCTTGGAGCATTTACTAGAGCCATGCTCCTGACTCTGGCTTGGTCCGAGGAGGAGCATTGCCTCCCTACTGGATGGGCTCCGAGGAGCTTGGAGGGGTCCTCAGACGCAGTTGGACGCCCCGCTGAGCCCACTGCATCCTGTTGTGAGTGGAGCAGAAGCATGGATGTGCTGCCTGGGGTGCCAGGCAGCCGTGAGGGATTCGGATGTACCTTTCCCTTCTGGTTTCTCTTGGGTGGCACTAACGGGCTCTGAATGGCCGCTTTGTCTCCCTGCAGGCCTGTGAGAAGGATGTCCAGTGTGGGGCGGGCTCCTGCTGTGCAATCAGCCTGTGGCTGCGTGGGCTTTGGATGTGCACCCCGCTGGGGCGGGAAGGAGAAGAGTGTCACCCCAGCAGCCATAAGGTACAGCACAGACCTGCTCAGGGCCCTGAGCCAGACAGCTGGGACTGGACCCTGATTTTCTGACTCTGACTCCAGGAGCAGCTCACAGGGGTTGGGCCCGGCTCCTTGCTTCTTGGAGGCAGCCTGGGGTGGAGCAGGGGGTACTGATCACACAGCTTGTTAGATCTGCGGGCCGGAACCCCAGCTGCTCCTCAGCTGGGTGGTCTTGGGCAATTAGCATGACTGCTCTGGGCCTCAGTCACCTCATGAATATGAGGGGAAGAGACTGATTACCTCAGAAGTCTCTTTCAGATCTGATGAACTCAGATTCTCAAGGGGACCTGAATGCCTTCTGCCCCTAGGAACCGTCCCTCAAGAACCTGAAATAAGACTCACAAAATGGCTTCCCACCCAAGGGATGGGTCTGGTTAGGGTGCCGCAAGCCACGGGCCCAGGGCATATGCTTTAAGGAGGCACTTGTACCCTTTTGGGCCCTACGTGCCTAGTTCCCCTCCCCTGGCAGGCTGCTCCCAGCCCCAGAGGCATAGAAGGGCCACTAGGCCTTTGCTTCTGAACAGCCGGGTACCGGAGCAACCCCAGGTGTGCATGGGGACCCCGGGGGCCTGCCCTTCCCCTGGGTTCCCTGCCGTTCTGGAGTACCCCCTGCTCCTCAGGGGAGCACGTCTGCACCCAGCAGCCCTGGGTTCTTCTGGGTGTCCTCCTGTGGTCATGCTCCGGTTCGGGACCACTAGGAGGCTGGGGAGGCAGGGCTGAGTCCAGATGGGACAGTAGGACAGTCTTCGCTGCCTTGGGGTGTGTGATAGTTTGGCTGCAGATCTGCATTCCCCCAAGGGGACACCGAGGACAATAAAAACTAAAGCTGAGTGCTTACTATGGGCCACTTTTCAGACTAAGAGCTTTTGTAATTATATAGCTTAAACCTCTTTCCAGTCGTATGTGGGAGGTGCTATTTTTGACCCATTTTGCAGATAATCAAGTTGAGACCCACAGACTAAAGAACCTGCCAGTTGTCACGCAGCTGGGAAGTGGCAGACCTGGGAACTGAACCCGGGCAGTCTGACCCTACCTATTATGATCATAACTGTTCTTGTTCATCCTCCCTGGAGGAAACCTTGATAGTTTAGTCTCCGGGTGAGTCACAGGGCAGAGACAGTGTCTGTCCGGTCCACTGCTGCATCGTCAGCACCCCCTAGCGTTGAGCTAGGCTAGGCTGGTTACCTTGTTCCGGGAGACAGATTGCCTGGGTCTGTCTGAATCCCAGCTCCTCCACAAAGGAGCTGCGTGAGCTTGGCATGTCGCTCAGCCACCATGCCTCAGTTTCCCCCCTCTGTGATAACTGTTACTGTTGTGCTGGTTGGAGGGGAGATACCGGCCAGGGCTCGGCCGGCCAGAAGCTCCTGCCAGAAGGCCCACCTCCCTCATGGTGAAGTTGTCCTCCTTCTTCTCCTCTTTCCCCAGGTCCCCTTCTTCAGGAAACGCCAGCACCACACCTGCCCCTGCCTGCCCAACCTGCTGTGCTCCAGGTGTCCAGACGGCAGGTACCGCTGCTCCATGGACCTGAAGAACATCAGCTTCTAGGAGCCCATCTGTTGTCGGGACACACACGGGGCCTCTGCCTGAGCCCTGCCTGGGCTCGCCTCGGAGGGTGTTTCATTTCTGCTACGTGGCCCAGCCCATCGCTGCCCCGTCCCCCCTCCCCAGACGGTCCTCCTCGGTCCCTCTTCCCTACACACCTATGTGCATGCAGCACACGGGGTCCCAGCTCTGGGCTGTGGTCCAAGAGGTGCCCTGACTGGTTCTTTTCCCCTTCTGGCTGTCTGAGGGGTTGTAAGTATCAGGAAGGGGGATTCTTCCCTTGATCCCCCGCCTCACTCACGGATGTGACTTGTCCTCCTCCCTGGGCCTGTCTCTTCCCCTTCCTGCATGTGCTCTTCTGCCTGAATCCCACATTCCCCAGCCCCTGCCCCGACTTGCCCCATCTATTGGGTGTATGTATTTGGTGTACTGCTCCAAGGGACAGGTCCTGGGCTGAGCCTTTCCATGAGGTCCGTGAGGGGCAACCGGGGAGTTGTTTGTCTTCCTTTGATTGACTAAGTCCTCAGTTTTAGGCCATGGGCCCCAGGTCAGCCCTTTGGGGTGGGGTGCGGAGGTGCAGCAGGCAGTGACCTCATGGTGGCGGAAGGCCACCCACTAGGCCAGAACTGCATTGCCTCCGAGGCCCCTCCCCGCACACTTTACTCATTCACCAATGAAGCTCCAGTTCCCACGGCCTCCCTGTAGAATGCAAGTGAGGGCAGCTTAATCTAATCGGCCATGACAGTTTAGGAGGCAGTTAGGGAGTGACCTCAAACAGCTCCTTTCTGAGGATCAGCCCCTGGGAGCAAGTCTGTGACCTTGAGGACACAGGGCTTCTGCCCAGCTGGGGGATGGGGGGAGGTGGGAAGAGAGGCAGCAGGCAAGCACATTGACTTGGGAGGCAACTGTCCCCTAAGGACCAGGCTGCACAGGTCTCAAACCCAGAGAAGTCAGCTTCTCTAGACATCAAGGGCTTCCCCAAGTTCAGAGCCATCTGTCTGGGAGTTGTGTCACGGGCCTCCACTGTCCGCTAAAACACCAGTCCCATCAAGCTCCTCCCATCTGGACTCTCCCCTGGATTCACCAGGACAGCAGGGGACACCCGACGACGCTGTGCTTGCTGACCTGACCCTGCAGAATAAAGGCATGAACAGGGGCGAGTGGCCTTGCTATTCCGGCTCCGCCCGTGTGGGGACTCGGGGGCCGTGAGAGGGAGGGCAGAACAGGATCTTTTCCAGGTGGAGGAAGGACGCCGTCCTATTGCTCTTCCTGTTTCAGGCAGGTTTTTTTGCAAAAGTGGATTCAGGGTTTCTTTGAATGGAGTGTGACAGGCCTTGGGCTCTGGGCCCAGAGGGTGCTGCTCAGGTGTGTGGCTCAGGTGTGTTGGTGGGTTGGACATAGGAAGGGAGCCCTGAACTGGCAGCCGAGTGGGGACTCCAATGGCAAGATCTGGATGGGTTGCAACTCCCATTTCTGCAACTCAGTCCTTTCTGCTTAGTGTCCAAGACCTGAGGCCCCCAGACCACCATGTGTGGGGTGAGGAAGTTCTATATCAGGACGGCCGTGAGCCTATGTCCAAACCCAGGGGCTGGGAACATTCCCTGTCAGGTTACTGTCCCCATGGCCCCTCCTCATCCCAATTCCTGGCCTAGAAAAATGCAAAATGTAAGATAAAAGGACATTGTATCCTGTGTTTCTCAGAAGCCTCCAAGCTCATTGTGGTTAAGGAGGCCTGGGGGCTCCTGCCTCCCCTGTTTGCCCTGGATCTGCTGGAGCCTTGCTCAGGGGGTACTCAGGACAGGCTTTACTGTAGGACCCACTTGAGTCGGACCTGAGCCCCACTCAGGGCTCCTTCTCTTTGTTTTTGGCTCCTCTGATAGACCTCCTTGCCTGCTCTGCTGGCTCTTGCCCTTTCTTGCAGCCCTTGGATCTCTCCTCCTGCACTCAGGCTCAGGTGCCAGACAGAGAGCTACTGTCCATGTCCAGGGTTCCAATCTGCTTTGGGTCTCCAGGTACCACTGATCACTACCATGTCATGCTGGTGTGTGGAGCCCTCCCCAGTCAGGCTGTGCCCTCTGCAGGCAGAGCCCTCCTGGATGAGACATGGCCATGTGCCTGAGCACAGCAGAGACACGGGGTGATGGCTGGAGGCACAGGAGTGCCCCTGACGAGGCACACACTGACTCGCCACCTGCAGCCCCCATCTCCATCCCCATCTGGAGCTGGCCAGTCTGTAGACCCCTTTTAGTCTAACTGGAACAGTTCTCATATTTTATACCAGAATGCCAAGGAATGTATAATTGACCTCCACCCCAGTTTCTCACTGCCTTTTTCCCCTGAAGCCCTAAGAGCAGAGATGGGGAGGTTGGAGGGGTGGGGAGGTAAGAAAAGTGTATTTGTGAGAAGTTTTTATACTCAATATAAATTAATTCTTCATCAATATAATTATAAAAAGAATCTACTTATAGGAATAACATATATTAAGATAAGAATGTATTCCCAAGGAGTTCAATTAAATCGGAGTTAGATAAAACGGACATCCCTCCCGGATGCTGCCCTTTCAGTTGACAGCCCTACCTCCCCTTGGACCTAACCCCTTCCTGTTCGACAGGTGGAGTCTGGTGCCATCTAGTGACCAACCCTGGGGATGGCATGGAGAAGTCAAAAATGTGCCCTTCTCAAAGCAGATGGGGACCATTCCTCAGATGTCCCCAAAGGATAGATTCAACCAGAGGGTTAAAGGGACAGTACTTCCACCTGTGGAAAGAAATCTGTCACCCTAAGAAGTACAGGAGAAATACTTAGTTGTGGGGTCTTTTGGGTCCGGTTCCACCTACACACTTCTTTCCTAGAAGCTGCTGTCATCTTCTGGTGAGACATCGTCCAGCTTCTCCAGGAGTGGGACGGTGGAGGTGGGTGGGGCCAGGAGGGATGCCCCTCCCCCAACCTGTGCCCCTGAGTCCCCATCTTCTTGGCTAGTCATCTGGGTCAGGTCTACCATCACCCCCAGGATCCAAGTCGGAAGCTCAAGAGCAGTCTAGATGTCTTCTCTCTTCTACTCTTTTCCCACGGCAGCCCTGGCCAAATTTAAGCAGTCATCCTGCCGAGCATGGCCTGTGGCAACTGCTTCTGACCTATTCTCTCTGCCTCCAGTTTGCCCCTTAAAAATCCACCCTGGCGTGTCTACCAGCGTCTTTCTAGGCGGCACATTTACCTGGTTTGTGGCCCCTGATGGCCCTTCTCAGCTCCAAAGAAGAAAACCCAGCCCATAGCAGGGCGCGGCAAGCCCATGCCCGCCCTCTCTCTGTCTCTCCCATGCTCCCCACCAGGCTTCTCGGCCTCAGGACTGCCTATGGTCCTTGGGATATGCCATGAGTGTCTTTGCCGGGGCTGTTCCTCCATGGGGAATGTTCTGCGTCTCCTCTGTGGTCTGGTGACCTCAACGCTTCCTTCAAGAGCCCCTCAAATGCGTCCCCCTGCCCCATCTGCATCCATCCACATGGAAACACCTGGGATAGACCTCAGGCACGAGTTGGCACCCGCTCTTAGAGAACATCCGTGTCCATGTCGGTCTTCACCCATGAGAGAAGGAAGGGCAGTGTCTGCATCCTGCCTGTGTCCCCAGGTTGAATAATGGGGGCTGGGAGGAGCAGCTGCACAGCCAGAGGATGGAGGCCTCCCCAGTGAGCAGCACCACCCCCAGCCTCTCCTCTCGGTGGCCTCTCTTCCCAGGAACTGGGCTCCCCTTCCAGGCCCAGTACACAGCAGAGTGCATCCCTAGGGGCAAGTTGCCAAGGGACTGGGAACACCCAGTCTTGTGGTAAAGGTGGGGGGTGGGGAGAGGCTTCTGGACCCAGCTCCCTGCCAAGTGCCTGCACCACCCTGTCAGCCTTAGATCCCTTCATTTACTGAGGCCACAGTCTGCCCTCTGCCGGGGCTGGCTTCAGGGCCTGGGGTCATCACAGACCAAGCCCAGCAATAGCCGTACCAAGCCCAAGAACCAAGTATACTGAGTACTTGACAGAGGGTATTGGTGGGCAGCCCCTCTCCAGACCCCAAGCTACGCAGGGCCGTGCCCTCCGGCTGTCTGCACTGTGTTCTGTCACTGCTGGCAGAAGGGAGGTGGGGGGAGGAGGCAGGGGTGTCCTGGGCTGGCCTGCCTGGCTCAGACCCCTCCCTCCAGTGTTTGGGGTAGAGACGTGGGACTTAGTGGAGTGCTGGCTTTCAGGACCTGGGTCACACCATGGATGGGGAGGGTGATGGGACACTTTGGCAGATCTGAAGGGAGGGCCCACAGAGGACTGAGAAGTTTCTGGTCATCTGAAGTCGAACCCAGTTAATTCATGTATTAACTAATTAGTTTATTACTCATTTATGAGCTAAGGGGTCCCTTTCTTGCACAGTAAACAGAGGACCTGCTGGAGGATGGAGACCATGGTTTTCTCCCGGGTCTGGTGCCTGGCATGGAGCTGTGCTCAGGACATTTACGGAATGAATGAACAAATGAATGAAACAGCAGTAGCATTTCCTAAGAGGATACAGACGGGCAAGGGTCTCAGGGGCCTCTGGAATGTGGGGTTCGTAGCTGCCGCCCATCACAGACCTTCTGCTCCCAGAGTCCCCATATCTCCGTGCTCACCTCCTGGCCCCCTTGCAGTTTCTCACTCACCAGAGGGAGGCCGTCTGAGATCCTGGCGATTGAGAGAGCCGTACACAAAGACTACAGTAGCCCTGAGAGACCAGGATGGGTCCCGGGGGGGCAGGTCGGGAGTGGGAAAGTACGGGATTGCTGTCTGTGAGAGAGAACATCTTAGGTTATACAAGTTCCGTTTACTTTTGTTGGATGGACTTAGTCGCCTCGGAAACAAAGACAAAAAAGGACCCTCCCCTCCAAGAAAATGGTAGCAGAAGGTAGGGCAGAAGCCGCTGGCACCAGGGAGGGGAGATGTCACCAGTAGGGGGCCGAGGAAGGGTAGGGCCTGAGGGAAGCTAGGTGTGGGGGG